CAGGGAGTGGTAAATTTGGCCTTTGTAAATAAGTAAACTTCCAGTGCAATTGGATGAGTTATTAAAAATAAACAAACCAAACAAAAACAACACCAATGTTCATCTCCAAATAACTATAAAACGAAGAAAATAAATCTAATTCTTTTTATTATGTCCTTTTTTTTCCCCTTACATACCATCAGAACAGACAGCTGGTAACTGGTAACAAAGGCTCTTCCCACCACCTGTAGGCATGACAAGAAATATATCCTTCCCTGCCATTGCAGCATTTACTGTTTCAAGTTGCAGGGATCTAAACTTCTGGAGTTTAAATCTGCTCTGCAGTGCAGTTTTTATCTTCTCATACCATGGAAAATCTGTTAAGAGAAAAAACCAACTCAACAAACACATTTCATAAGCATATTAAAATATAAGAAGGAGGAGTAATTTACATATTCGATAACTAAATCTAGCAGTGACGCAATTTTAGACCTGGGAAAGTGTTTAAAGATTCATAATGGCACAGAAAAAGCTCCACACAACCTGAGTCTATATACGCCAAATTCCAGGGTGGACCTTTGAAAACTCAAATTGTAAACCAAATTCACCTCCAGACCAAAGCAAATGGATGTGAACTACAGATGAACTTCAGAGTGCTAATGATCATGTTAACTCATTGGTACAAAATAACTAGAAATTAGAATCCCACCTTGAAAAATAAATAAAACCAGACACTGAGCACTACAATAGTTACTCCAATGCTTCCTTCATACAAATGCAGTAGTATAAAGAAGGAGGGATACAATTTTTCCATATATTCCATAAATAATAAGCATTTATTAAAAAAATAAAGAGGGGGGGAAGAGCTGTTTAATCTTCCCCAAAATCAACACCCCAACATGCTTATAATAGTTTTTTTCTTTTCTTCAATAAAGACCTAAAAACTGCATTTTTAAAAGATGTAACACTGTAAAAAATTATGCTTCCCGATGCATCTTTTTGGTACTATTAAAATTAAAATGCAGAAAAACTGTGGGAGCTCCAGTTACACCACATGCAATGCAAGAATTAATATTGGGACTTGAGGTGACATTGCAAATAAATTTACAAAGAACACAGTTAAAATCCAAGGCTCTCTGAAAAAAAGAAAAGCCTCCCACTGGCCTCCATGAGCTTTATACTGGGAACAAATGTAGCTGCTGCTCTTGTTTAATACGCACACAGTATCAGATTGCAAAGACATTAATTTTCAAAGCACAGGAGGTGAGAATTAGGCATAGAACTACACAAACCAAATTATTTGTTCAATAGAATAATTTGCAATTATAAAGTATCAATATTCTTACATATGCATTAATACTCCTCAAATACAGATAAATATGGATTCAACTACAACATTAATTTCATTTTTAAAAAAGCCAAAAAAGGCATATATCTATGACAGATATAGGCATTTACATTTTGAAAATTAAATTAAAAAGCAGAAAAAAAACCCATAATATCTGAGTCAAATTTGGCAAGGTATAACATGGCCAAGAAGCAGCAACTATTCAGGACCTCGATGTCTAACCTGAAAGACCGCAGCCCTCCCACTACCACAAGGCACTTGCCACTTGCACTAATTCTACAATAATAATGTATTCTAGGTTATTTTTGGCAGTCAGCATCTATCTAATTTGCATTAATTTAGCAAGACAGTGAGGCTTTATGACCCATCACAAACACTACCAATGTCCTACCCACTCAAGCAAGAGGAAACACAAAACCAGCAAAACCCAAATCTAAGTACAAAATCGTCATTATCAAATCCTGAGAAAATCCAAAGCAATTTGTTTTAGAACACAAACAAGGAAAACTATTGCAATATAAGCAATTAGTATACAAATATTGCAACAAAAATTTACTCTGTGATTCTAAAAGCAAATCAGATCAAATAGTAACTTTGCAACAAGCAAAGAATTAAAGTAATTATAGCAGGCCATTCTGACAGAACAGATACGTCTGCCCAGAACAACTCAAGATTAGTGTTTAGCAATGTCCAGTGAGACAAGTATAAACATTACCTCATTACCCTGGCCTGTCAGCCAGCTGACTAAAATTATATAGGACAATATAATTATCCAAACAAAACTCTGCAGTTTCCCCTACTGAATTAGTTCACCTTACTGTTAAAATATTAGACTTTGACTCTGCAAACCTTTTTTGTTCCATTCCTCAGCTGAGGTTTCAGTGTCTTTACTTCCACCTGCCTCCAAGTCTCCTGAGGACTGTTTTATCAGATTCTTTACTCTCATCTTCTTTTGAAGGAGTTCCTGCTGCTTATCCACAAGCTCCTGTATCTGCATCTCCACTACTTGCAGCTCATTCTCAATGGACACCAGCACCTCCTCTAGCACTGCAGGGAGAAGCAAGGAGAAGGCACAATAGAGACCACAGCCATGTGCTGATGCAAGTTTTAATTGTATTAACTGCACTCCAGCCAATGATCAAGTTGTTCATAGAGAACATTTGTTTACATGCGAGGAGCAACATTAACAAGCAACATTAACATCGGCAAGTTAAACTCCTCTGGAGTTCAAAACAGGACCATTAGCAACAAGCTGTGTTTCATGCACCAAGATCTCCTTCCTCCACAGAACAAGAGGATCTGCTGAACAACAGGGTTTGGATATAGAGGGAAAATGCAAACACAAGCCATCCTTCACATGTGAAAGAAGTAAAGAAAATGCTCCCCAAAAGCTCAGGTTACACAAGTGGCTCTTTGGCAGGATTTTGCCTCTACCCATCCCAATATGCACGTGTATGAATTGCAGATTGTTCTAGAATCCAACCCCTGGAGTTCAAAAGAATAATTAACACATACACCTGCATGCCAAGCACATATTCCAGAGCCAGGTCAGAAAAGCATCAGAAGGAATTCCTTCCTCCCCCACACCCAGAAACCCCAAGAGATTTTGGCCCATCCACAGCAGATATGGTAATATGGTTATGGAAACAAAAACGTGTGATATGGAAAAAATATCTTCATCTCAAATAGCACAAAACGGTGATAACTGTCTTCCTAAATGCCCACTGCTACTCAGCAGAAAAGTTAAGAGTACCTTAAAATACAAAGCACATTTTAAAAATATTGAAAACCAAGTAATTTCCTTGACAAACTTGATTTTCATCATGCAATAGCTTGGGTTGGAAGGGACATTAAAGCTCATCTCATTCCAACTCCCCTGCCACTGGACCAGGTTGCTAGGAGCCCCATCCAACCATGCCTTGAACACTTCCAGGGATGGGGAATTTTGGTTTTGTTTTACCCAAGAAATGAAAAGCTATCCAGTAAAATATTTTTTTCTTCAAATCTTAAGTATAATAGCACAGACCCCACAAACTCTCTTATATATGCATTAAATTAATGTAAATAACAATCAGTAGCATCAAGTGATTGTCTGGTAACCAAAAAAAAACAAAAATGAAAAAAAAAAAAATAAATAAGGAATAACCGCAAAAACCGGCAACCTTGGAAAATAAAAAAAGGTAACCTTAACAAAACCTAATTAAACAAACAAACGGCAACAAAAAAGAAAATGAAACAAATATATTTTAAAACATATTCTATAAGTAAACCTTCTCAATTTAGAAAAAATTTACTGCAGGACATTCTTCATTACCAGAGCTGTTAGTGTAACAGTTTAAGCACTGACTAATTTAATTTGCTCACATAAAGAAGCCCCACTAGATGACAACTGCTTTTTCCCTTCTGCAAAATGGATAAACACAATTTCACAACCAATTTCCAAGGCCACAGCTCACCAGGCTTCTAAATGAATCCAGGTGACCTTTAACCAAGTCATACATTTCCTGCAAGAGGAATGCTCCAAGGTAGACGAGTCACTCACCAAGTGCCCATTACCATTTTTGATCTCATCAAAGATTATTTTACAAAAAAGTCTGAACACATTACACTGTGCCCCTTAGAGAAGCAGCCACCATAACACCTACAGCATCATTAAGGAGGAAGTGAAAACATGCTTTGGTTTAGAGAAGGGGATTCTATTTTGAACAGATCATCAGTGAAATGAGCACAGAATTTAATATATTGGCTCATTATTTGAACAACAGTCTTTGTCACATTGTACCTTAACAATATCAAACTCAATAAATTTATATTTTCTCTACTGCATCCTGAACTATTTATTACATAGATGGAAGCAAAGTCCAGTGGAAGGTGAAAGGGAACAAATTCAGCAGATCCTGACTACCAGCTGATTCCACCATAGCAAAGATCTTCCCCACTCCTATAAATGCAGATGGAAATATATATTAAAACTGATGTGTGAATAAAACACTCCACATCACCCAGGGCTAGACCCTCTTAATCACCTTAAGTCGCCGTCAGGGGCGGCGACTCCACCGCCTCCCGGGGCAACCTAGTCCAACGTGGGAACATTCACCCGCACACAGTGTGACCAGCATACAACTATATACAGAGAACATATGCAGTGCAATGTTCCCAGCACTCCTCACCCACACGCCAGCCGCGGGCACGGCGCTCGCCGGGCCGGAGCCCCTGCTGGGTAGGGCTGCGGGACGGGGCGGCACAGCCGGCCGGCCGGGCAGGGAAGGCGTCCGGAGCGGGATGGATGAGGAAAGGACAGAGGCCGCCAGGGCCAGCACCTCGCTGCCGTGTCCTCCCGTGCGGCGGGCTCAGCCGTGGCTCGGAAACAGCTCCCACAGCTGCCCCAAGGGCTGGTGCCGGCCGCGCTGCCGCATCCCCTGTCTTTTACCTCTTACCCCTCATCCTCCACCCCTCCCGGCTCCCGCTCCCGCTCCCGCTCCCACCTGCGCCGCGCGCGCCAGCCCCGCCCCTTCCGCCGCCCGCCCTCAGCCAATAGCGCTCGGGGCCCGGCGCGAGCGCCGCCCCTCCCGCCAATCAGCGCCGGTCGCGGGCCGTGGGCGGGGCATGGCGCCAGCGCGGCCATGCAAGGCGGCTGCTGATTGGCGGCCGGCGCGACCAATGGGCGGGCGGCTCTCATGCGGCGGGGTGCGTGTTTCCGGAAGACGTGGCCGCCGCCGCCGGTTCCGCTGCCGCCCGTCCCGGTCCGAGTGCCGCCGCCACCATGATCTCCCTGTCCGACACGCAGAGTAAGCGCTGCCGCCGCTCCCGCCGGGCAAGCGCGGAGGGGCCGCCCGCTGCGGGGCTGGGGGCGGCGGGGGGTCCCAGGGCGGCCGGGCCCTCATCCTTTGTCCGCGGCGGGGCCTCCCGGGAGCGACCGGGCAGGGTCCGGCTGGAGACCGGCCGGGCCCCGCGGCGGGGTGGGGGCGGACAGGGGTGGGGGAGCTCTCGCGGTCGCATCCCCGCAGGGGAAGGCGCGGCGGCGGCCCGGTGCGGCAGTAGCGGCGGGGAGCACGGCAGTGGACATGGGGCGGAGAGCGGCGGGTCAGCGCCCGGCGGGACCCTCGCCCTTAGGAGAGCTCTGCCGCCGGCGCTTGTCCGGGCTGCGAGTGCTCGGTGTGCTGTGCTGCGGCGTGGCCTGCGTTGGAAGGGACCCTAAAGATTATCTCGCTGCAGCTCCTCCCATGGGCAGGGACCCCTTGCACTGTCCCGGGCTGCTCAGAGCCCGTCCAGCTGGCCGGAACACTTCCAGGCATGGGGCAGCCACAGCTTCTCTGGACTACCTGCTCCAGTGCCTAGCTAGCCTAACAGGAAAAAACTTCCTGTTACCTAACCTAGCGCCTGTGTGGGCTTGTACCCATGGCACGTCGAGCACTGGGAATGAATGAATGAAAGCTGAGCGGTAAACAAAGTAACACTTAGCTCCCCTCTTGCCGTATACCTCCCGGTGGACGTCAGTGGTCTGGAACCATTTAATTATCTCGGTAGGAAATAGTTTTACTGTGCTGCCCTTGCTGCTGCCGCACCAAAGGTCTGCAGCTGATGCTGAGCGGGCTTCAAGGTAAGGCCAAGACATAGAAGTGAAAAATAGTAAAAATATTTGTATGTGGCCATAGTTTTGTTTCCACTAAAGTGCTTGGAAATAGAGATCAAATAAACAAAAGTAAAGTTCCTAAGGGTGTCCTTAGCCAGGAGCGCTGGTGGTGTCCTGGGTGCTCCAGGAAGTGTGGCTGGCAGCTCAGGGCCATCCTGCCCCTCTGCCCAGCCCCACGGAGGGCACAGCTGGAGGGCTCTGTGCAGTCCTGGGCTCCCCAGAACAGCAGGGACAGGGAGCTGCTGGAGAGGGACACGGACATGGTGAGGGCTCTGGAGCATCTCTGCAATGAAGAGGGACTGTGGGAGCTGGGCCTGTTTATTCCGGATAAGTCTGAGGGGGGATCCCATTAATGCGTGTAAATATCTCAAATGGGTGCCAAGAGGACAGTGCCAGACTTTTCAGTGGCGCCCAGCAACAGAACAAGGAGCAGTGGCCATGAAGTGAAGCACAAGGAGTCTAACCTCAGCATGAGGAAGGACTTCCTTACACTGAAGGTGGCAGAGCCCTGGAACCATTGTCCCAGGGAGGGTGCGGAGTGTCCTTCTCTGGAGCCATCCCAAACCCACCTGCAGACATTCCATTGTCACCTGTAGCAGGTGGCACTGCCTTGGCAGGGGGTTGAACTGGATGATCTCCAGAGGATCCTTCCAGCCCTAACAATTGTGATTCCATAACAGCTTAAACTGCAGGGTAAAGGACAATGATAGGCCTTTGATTTAAATGACCATCTCATGTGTGGTGCATTTCTGGTATGATTGGCACAGAAGGAAATGAGTCTGCCTGATAAGAACCACAGCATCAGTTATGAAGGAGGGTGTGAAAAATCTAGGAAAAAAAAAAGTTAAAATAACTTTGATAGCAGGATACTGGAAACTGAGGTATTGGAGAGCCAATTAAGGCCAAGGATGAAGACAAGCAGCAGAGTTTAGCAGCATTCAGGGTCAATGATTTCTTGAGATACTCAGATATTGTGCTGTTACTGGGATGATTACTAATCCTTGGGGTTAACTTTTAGGTTTCTGATTGATTAAACCCTTGTGGGCTTTGCTTTTGCCCTTAGCTTTCTGTTTGGAGTATCTGTTGGGCAAAAAAATAAAACTCTCTTCAGAAAGAGACTCACTGTTTTTATTTTGTTTGGTGCCTCATGTGGGACCTTCAGCTATTTCCAGTGCTAAGACTGTTAGTTTTAACTATCAGAGACAGCAGTACTAAATAAAATACTCTGACATTTAGGGGTTTTAAGTGTGGGTTTTTTTCAGTTTTTCTGAAATTCTGAAGATAGTTCATCAGATATTTTAAAATTCACTGCTGTCTGGAAAAATACAGAGTTAGCCATAGAGTTGCCGGTAGAGTAGTGTGATAATTACCTGGAGAGAACCACTGTTAATGTTTGGAAAGTTAATTCTGCAGCTGTAGTTTAGAACATAATTTTAAGTGGTGCATTGAATGGTGCTACAAACCACCAGTAATTGCAAAAGAATTCACTTAGCTTTTCCCAAATTAAATTTTTAATACTAAAACATACTGCTAACAAAATAATAGTTATGCATTGAATATAAACTGTATTTGTTTTTGTCTTCTAAAAGCCTATAGCACACAATTCCATTTTATTTTGCACTATAGTATGCACAATAAAAGACCGGGGATATGCATTGTCTGCCCTAATCTTTTACAAGCAATCTATCTTAAGTTGGAATTTTAAAATCTACTAAGCTGTTTTGACACAGTGCTGCGGTAGTCTTGCACAGCTTATGGAATTTCTGGAGAAACATTGATGGAAGATTTGTTCCCTTGTTCAGGAAATCATAATAATCCAGAATAAATACAACCCCACTAGTGTATATTTCTAGGCTTTGATATGTTGCATTTGACTAATGTGGGAAAGCTCTTCTGGCACAGGAAAAAACATTTTAAAATAGTTTGCTCCCTCTATAAATATTCATAGTTTGTTGTTGAAAAGATTTTACACAAAATACCAGCACTTTTTATTTTTCTTCCTCTAAGAAGTGTAATTAAATATATTTACAAATTCTGATACAAATCAAGGCAGTAACACCCTCTGCTAAAATATCAGCACTGGAGGATAATAGTCCTGGACCATTCCTCTTCTTCCAGCAGTTATTTTGGGATAATGAGAATAATGTTCCTTTCTCTTTTTCCCTTTTCCCTCCACTAAGCAGAGAACATGGGTGACTTCTGCGGTGAATCAGAGCCCATTGTGGCAGAAGTGATGACGAACAGATTTGGGGTGATTAGAGAGGTGTCAGAGCGTGCCTCCTTGCCGGATCCATACCTTGGGCTGTGTCGGGGAGGAGCAAATACTCACTTCCCATGTCTGCATATTTATCTTGCTGGCAGCTGGTAATTCCTCTGAAATCCTGCCTCCAAGTGTTTTCCTTCCAGAATACAGATTGTTTATGCTCTTCTGAAGTAAAGAGTACTGGAGAAAAGGGCACTTGCAATTGTTACATTGCCTTCAGTCAGCAGATCCATTGGAAATAAAATTTGCAATTCTGCTTTTCATTGTAAACAAGTACGGAGAGTGCCTGTTGTAAATTGATTGGATTGAGTTAGTCCTTTTAATTGTGGGGTGTTAAAATGCTTACAGTTAAAGTTTGAAGCGGCAGGGTATATTATAGAACTACAGCTCTAACAGCATGTGCTCTGCAGCCTTGCTGAAAGCCAAGCCCTTGGGAAAGTTTGGGGAGTGGAATGTTGCTGTAACAAATCTCTGAGCTATGTTGAAATTTATTTCCAATAACTACTTGGAAGTCCTGAAACAGGCATAATTATCCTCCTTTACTCCCAAGCTCATCAAGCAAGAGCAAATGACCAACTACATCAACAATGTGCAATTAAAATACATGGAGGCAGATCTGGCCAAGAGTAGCAGTGTGGGCTGTGATTGTTGATGTGGTTTTTTGTTTGTTTCAGGACAAGCTACACAAAACTACTTGAAACTTCAAAATACACATATTATATAGTATTAGGGTGGATTTTGCTAAGCTATTTTTGTTTTGTAATATAGAAACCTGTAGGTTTCTATGTCTGGTCACAGTGAAAACAGTTATAAATGCATGTGTTTGCAGCCCTGTTGCTGTTGTTCCTGGGTTTTCCTCTTCCCTTCAGTCTATGTGAGAGTAAAAGGAAGGCTTTAGAGATTTAAAATTAAAAGCAAGATGTATTCCTAATGGCAGTCTTCAAGATACTTTAGAGGCTATAGTCAAATGGTAGTTTAAACCCTAGCTTGACATTTCTAGCCCATTTTATCATAAAAACCTTTCATCCTATTCTTGGTTTCCCAGTATTTCTTGAGCATCCTTTGCAGAACTCAAACTTTATAAAACTGTTTAGCCTGGAAAAAAACCTTTATGAGCATTGTGTCCAGCTGTTAACCCAGCACTGACCAGTCCATAATAATAAGCAAATATATTAAGTACAAAAGGTATTTTTTAAAAATCCGCAAATTAAAATAATAAAATGAAAAATTTAATATAATGGAACTGCTGTGCAACACTAGCAGTATAGAGATATTGTATTTATGTGTAATGTAGATCTACCATTTAATTAATAAAAATTAAATATGATGTATGAAAATTATACTTGAACATTAATCTCTCAATATTTAATATCTGCCAGTTTTGTGAAAAATGGCAATTGTCTGGAGACCCAGGCTAGTGCTTGATAGCTGTCAGCACCTGTGTAACTTGGAAAAATCCTGCAGGATTCACCCAAGTTGTGTTCCATCTGGAAACTGCAGGGAGTGGAACTGCTGTGCAAGTCATGGAAGATGGAACATGAGGTCTAAGGAGGATGGAAAGGACCAGGGTACTTACATTATTATGGGAAAGATAATGGGATAAGATCTGCAAATCCCAGAGTATTCTGAATTAAAAGAGAAGGATCACAAGGATCATTGAGTCCAACCCTTCAGTGAATGACCTGTATGGGAATCAAACCCAAGACTTTGGTGTTATTTGTACCATGTTCCGACCAGCTGATCTAATCTAATGAAACAAAGTTTCATTATCTCTTTATAAACAATCCTCTTCTCCATACTAGTAATTATTTAAAAGGGATGCATGTCTTTGATGAATGTATATATACTTGATTGCTTTTGGTTGCATTCAATTTCAGTATCTTTCAGTGCCAAACACAGACTTTGTTATAAACAGCTTCCAAAGATCTGTCTTTTGAAGTAATTGGGGTCTACAAGATTTACACTCAGGAAAGTTTCTAAATTAAAAATGTCTTTAGATTGGATGTTCTCATTTTTCCCCCATTTTTTATCTGTGAGTTTTTCTTGGTATTATATTTTGTTACATGCCTAAATTTGTTTCTTTTTCAGAGATTGGAATGGGACTAACAGGCTTTGGAGTGTTTTTCCTCTTCTTTGGAATGATACTCTTCTTTGACAAAGCTCTTTTGGCTATTGGAAATGTAAGTGTCTTTTCTGCAGTGTTTAGAATCAAGTATGTGATCTCTTAAAGATAAGCTAAAAATAGAATAGCATGTTATCAGTTTGAAGCTGCATGACAAAGATTACTGTGGTGATTTGGTATAAAGGAGGAGTTGTGCTCAGTGACAGGAGTGAATAATTTTTCCTGCTTGAGGTTAGAACAGCTCACACAGATGTGATTATCACCTCGGGTCAGGCCTGTGGGATGTTGGCAGACAAGAAGCAGCTTGTTCCACAGTTGTGCTGCTGCAAATGTGATTTTTTTGTGATCCTCTAAGGTCGCTGTCAATTTAAGTATTTGGATAAGAATCATTAAGTACATGCTAGCATATGTAGTTTTGCAGTGCTGTAGGAGGAAAGAAAGAAAGAAAGAAAGAAAGAAATATGAATTGCTGACACTTCTGGCTTTAGAAGAGCCAGACCTCTTTCAAGAAAGAGAGATTCAGTATCTTCAGCTTTTACCAAATCAAAGTTGTCGCTCAAGCAGCACAGAAAATAAGTCCTAGTTCTGGTACACAAAATTTCCAATCCAAATATCAAATGACAGGGTGTTTTCTGCATGTGATAGTCTCTGTGCCTCTGCTGCTCTCAGTTTTACCAGCCAGCCAAAGCACAGTCTGCTTGGTAGAGGTTCACTCCCTCTTTAGCTGATGCCCAAAAGTCTGCAGCCAAACAGATCAGTTTCATTCTCAAACACTGAGATTCCCTGAAGGGAAATATAACAATGTGTGTCTGAATTTGGGTGCATTAGTTGAAGCATTGTTGTGAACCATCAAATCAAGCATGCAGTGCAAGAGTGAAAAATGAAATAAAGTTTATTTTTTCTTTTCCTAATGTAAGGTGGAAATACAGGATCCTGTTTAGGGAAAATGAAAATATAGGTAGGAAGAGACAATGACAGGCTATGCGGTAACCAAAGATAATGTCAAGAAAATGTACTGTATCCTTGCAGAGAGTTGTTTTTATTAAAAAAAAATATATCAGAAAGGGCAGGAGGTTCTAAGAAAGTGATTTATTAAATACCATCCAAAGCTTAAACTTAAACTTGAGTAAAACCTGAGATACTATTGTTTTCTGAGCAAAAATGTTGCTGAAATAATTCTGAGTCCAGTTGCTGCACCAGAAGTAGTTCTGACAAGTTGGGACTGGTGTGATGGTGTTCAGTCTATACTGGAACAAATAAATAAACAATAAAAAGGCTATGCACAGTAAAAAACAACTGTTCAGCTTTTTCCTTCTCTGGCTTTGCACTGTGAGTAGATCAGTAGAAGCTGTTGAAGATGCCAGTGGCACAGAACAAAGGTGCTGTGATGTGTGTTAGTTTTTAGGAACCTCTGCTGTCACTAATACTAAGCTTCAGCACCACTTTTGGGAAAGATGTGACAGAGCAGATACAACTGTTTTCAGCAGATCTTTTGTCTTGAGTGTGTTTGACAGAGACCACAAAGGGTAGACTCTTTATTTTCAGGCAGCTGAGAGCTACAAGTGCTTTAGGATGGAACTTACAAAAGAAAATCAGTAGTAAATTCATTCTCACCGACTGTGTTTTGGTATTAAAAGAAATTGTGCAAGGAAAGCAGTGTAATTTTATAACAAAAATATATATATATATATATGTGTGTGTGTGTGTGTGTGTTTACATCCTGTAGTTGGGAACATAATTATTTGTTTTCTTTTTTGGTTTATTTTTGTCTTTTCTAGGTTTTATTTGTGGCCGGCTTGTCTTTTGTTATCGGTTTAGAAAGAACATTTAGATTCTTCTTTCAAAAACACAAAATGAAAGCAACGGGCTTCTTCCTGGGTGGTGTGCTCATAGTTCTCATTGGTTGGCCTTTAATAGGAATGATCCTGGAGATTTATGGGTTCTTCCTATTGTTCAGGTAAGTCTTCTCTTAGGAATCTATCTATTGTGTTAGGAGTTTTATCTAGGAATAAATATATTTGTGTAGCGTTTCTGTGTTAAAGTTGACAAAACAGCATCCTTAAATGTTCCTTTTGGACAAATTTGGTAAGTATTTTTCCAAGACTCAAATCTGCTAATGTTTGTGAGGCATTTACCAAAGTGACTTTGATAATGTTGATGCCTAATCAAAGAATTGTAAAGCTTCAAAATGTGTGGGAGCCCAAATTGTTAGCAGTATGAAGTTTAAATATCTCCTCATGGAAAAGGGATACTTGGTGCTTTTTTCAGTAGGGGGTTTGTCCTTTCTTTAACAAATGGGGCAAAATATTTAGTTACAACCATCCTAGGTTTGTAACCTCATCACTTCATCACTATGTCAGCCCAGGGAAAAGATGTTTTCTGTCATATTTCATTAGAATTGTGCCTTGGAGTCAGAACTGCTTGTTTGGGTTAGCAGTATCTTGACTGAGTAAAGGAAAAATGGAAATTCTATTTTTTTAAACAACAATCTTGAAACATGTTATAACTTTCACAATGTGACATTTAAGTTCTTCATAAATGCAACTGTAATAGTGAAAAAAATTGACTTTTTACAGCTTGCACAGATATCTATATTTTTATCTTTATTTCCATGGTTGAAGTTCTATGCTTCCCTACAGAACAAAGAAAAAAATATGCAAAACTTAGAAAGGGAGGCTTCTGGTTGTTCTTGGACCTCTGTCCAGATGCAGATTGTTTCACTAATGGTTATTGATCAAGTTTCAGACCTTGAAGTGTTCAGCAAATAGCTAAATAACACTGTTCCTGTTAATCAAAGTGAAACCATTGTTGTCATGGAGCTCTTTTTGTACTCAGTGAAATTGTATGTTAATCTGGTATTTAATTCAGATAAAATGTTTATTTTTGAAAACAAATCTGAACTTGGCTCCTACTGGAGACAGTGAAATTTCAGAAAATTAATATAGTGTGGTTAATTTATTTCTTATTGTTCTGCTTTGTGTTACTCTGAATTCTGTCACTGCAAGTGCTGTGATAATCACAGTATTTCACTGAATACATTGTCACTTCTTGCATGTACTGCTTGGTTTAATCAGCCAGTACAAAGCAAGTAGAATGTGTTTCCAAAACATCCTCCTTTTAAAAGGATTTTCTAGTGGTGCTTGCAAGGTAAAACAATGTTGAGAGGTTTATAGAAGATCAATAGTTATCCCCAGGACTATCCCTTAGTCTGAAGGGAATCAACAAGGGATGAATAATTCTTGAGTGTGAACGTTTAGCTGATCTGTTTTCATTTAAATCATCTGGAGTGGTTTGGACTGAAAGATCTTAAATGTCTTTTCCAACCTTGATGATTCCATGATTCTGTGACCATCTTTTCCAGGGCTCTTTAGTTGATAGAATCTAAATCCCTTGCTACAAAGCTGGCTAGTGACTACTTCAAATAAAGCTTTTACTTTTGCTTCAGTCTTGTTCAGTTCAGCCATCCTCCTCTTGTCAGCAACTTGTGCCCTTCTGCAGTTACAAATGAAGTCTTTCCTCGAGCATCATTTTATACTGTTCCTCAGGATTCTGCTGCTTGGTTGCATAGCAGAAAACTGCCCTGGCTATTATGGGACAGCTGTTGTCATCTAAAGTGCTTTTGGAGCCTTGTTCAGATGACAGCCTTGCAGAGTTATGGCTGACAGTATTATCCCTACTGTACTGACTGTCCCTTATTCTTGGACACAGCAGTTGTTTTAATCTGTTACAAGTGGTTTGTGTGCCCTGCCTCACAATTTCCTGGGCCGCTGAAATGATCTGGCCTTAAAAGAAAAAAAAAAAAAACTCAGAAACTCCCCTTATTGGTGTGAATATTACCCAGTAAATAGTTCTTAGCAGGGTGATGAAAAGCATGATGACTTGTCAAACTTCACTGTTTCACTGTGGCTGAGGCCTCATTGCACATTAATCCTTATTCCACGCAGGGAATGCTCAACACAAGATTGCTGGGAATGCCACCAGCTGCCTGCAAACAGCTGAGATACTGCTACAGAAAATTTGGTTTTCTGCTGCAGAAGTTAGGTGGAGAGTGCAGGGGCTACACCATAGCATCTGTGCCAAGCAACATCCCCAGGGTCATGATTCAAACCACTGACTTAAATTTGGGAAATAAATGAATACACAACTCTATCATGCTTCATTTTCTTTAGTTAATGTAAAGAGTATCAAAGGTGGTTTTAATTACTCAGAACTAACTTCACTTGTTTATACATTGGGTCTTGAATATATTTTCTATAATATAAAGAGGAATTATCTCAAAATACATATGCTAATTTTGCTAAATCAGTTTTCATGACTAAGGTAGTCTCCCTTGAGTTATTTTTTGATGAGCTGACTGAGAGTTGCCAGCTATGAAAAAAATTAAATCCATTTAAAAATACATCATTTCTTTCCTGATTTTCTCTTTACTCTGATGAATGTGTATTGGTGTATTTGGTAAACAAGTGTGCTGCTAACAAGCTGCAAAGTTTTATATAATCTTGGTTTAAAAATTTTTTAAATTATTTTTTTTTCATGTTACAGCAATATGAGAAAAGCTTAATTACAAAAACTAATACAATCTTCTGATGTTTTGCCAAAAGGGGGTTCTTTCCTGTGGTGGTTGGCTTTATTAGAAGAGTTCCAGTTCTTGGATATCTCTTGAATTTACCTGGTATAAGCTCGGTAAGTTTGGTACTTCATGTAACAACTGAAGCATGTTCTGGTTTTCATTCCACTGATATAACACTTGTAGAAATGCATCAAAAATAAAGCAAATATAACTTTGGAGCAATGACTTTAAATGCATTTTTGTACAGTTGTTCCACCATACACATCCCATTCATTTCCAGGGAGAGACTTATAGGGGTAAAAGGATTAAAAGCACATATTGGCAGGCGTTGCCCCTGCTCATGGGTGGTAGGGAATGCTGGGGTTCTTCCTGCTTCACTGTTGGCCCTGGGTGACCACGTAGGTGAATCCTGCCACTGCCCTGGGCCTCTCCTGTCTGTACAATGAGGAGGACACCATTCTTGGTGCAGTATTTGGGTGAACTTAGGAAAAGTGGCCTGTAAAAGCAAACAGTGAAGCTCATATGGTGAACCCAGTAACTCTCAGCATGCATAGTCATTCATTAGATACATTTATTAAGGTCCACTGCACCAGGCTACATATTTTTATTATTATGATTTGTATTTTTTTCAAATGAAGTTTTCCATTTTTTAACCAAACAGCCAGGGATTTGAAGACAATTAACAGAAATATGCTAATCTAGGGTGTTTGTCAATTACTTTTACTGTACTAATTTTTGTATGTATTTTAACACAAGCATTTGTAGTACTAGTTTTGAAAGAAACAGTTTTGATAGCTACTATTGAAAATTAATAGTGGGAATAACTTAGATGCATATAGGCTGTTTTTTTAAAAATGAGTGTTTCAGATCATCTGTTCCTGTCTCACAATTAGGCCAAGCTGTGGCTCATAATTCATGATCAATTGAATGTTTCATTTATCAATTGATCCTAATCATATTTAATTTGATCATAAAGGGGTTAAATCTTATTTTTAAAAGATAATTGTTAATGTTTTATTCAAAGCCTACGTAGGCTCAGAAGAGAATCCACAGTAATGGTCAGTTAAATATCTTCCTTGGTCTACTAATGCATGTGTGGCTGAGACTGTATTGTTTTGTTTATACCATTAAGCTGGCAGTGTTATCTGCATTCTTCTATTTCTTTTTTCATTCTGTTACATCTTCATGTTGCACTGTTAATGTCTATATGAGAAAAACATGTTATACAGAAACACAATTGCAATTATAAGAATTTTGGTTTTCACAAACCTAAACCTTGAGACCTCGGTGAGTACTACTTGACTCTCATTTCCAGTCACATAGTAACTGTGCAAGTAGCAAGTAGTATTTGAGAGCAGCTTCACTCTACATAAATGTCATCAACCTAAAACCTTTTTGTCTCCTTTTCCACAGCTTGTAGATAAAGTTGGAGAAAGCAACAACATGGTATAATGACAAGAGGGTGGAAGACTGATCTAAACTTTTACTGTATTATTTATAAAATCCCTTTGAAGAATACTCAGCACAAAGATTAAGTTGTGTACAAAGGAAAAAGCTTGTTACATTCTTTACATAACAGTTTTAATTTAAAATGTATAGTCAACAATATACACTAGAAAAGAAGCTCAGCAAGTATGCTTCTAGGAAAGTAACTCCAGAGTTTGGGAAGTAAACTGAAGAGGGGAAAGTCATTGAATAACCCATGTTACAACCGTTCAAGACTATTTTTGTTAGTTTTGGAAAACATGCTAGAGACAACAAACCCATGTGGAATTAATGGTGCCTGTTCTTTACCTCCTTATTTTGAAGGTGCAGTAGAGCAAACAGGCCTACATTTTAAAGGGTGACCCAAATTTACCCAACCCTCTGCTTGCTATCCTCAGAGTGCAAAAAATCAAACAGGAACTTCTTGTGTAACAAGAGATGCATCTTTGCATGAAGGTAAAGATGACTATTCATCTATAAGTGTATTTTGACAATAAAAAGGAAACCCTACACAGTTCTGTTGTAAACATTTTTGTAAATATGTGGCTGAAATACAGCATTGTTATCTTAATGTTTCAAAGCCAAATGTTAGTTGATTGTATTTGCCTTCCATTTTGGAATATGCAAAAGGTCAATCTTTAATAACTTTGGTCTTAAGTGTTGGTTCTGAACATGCAGAGCTCAGTGGGGAACTCTGGAAGCTGACTTGCAGTCCTTCCAGGTTGTTCTCCTTAAGTCGTGTTCCATGTGCATCCTGATGAGAATGTAGCCCCTTGTTACTAATGTGAAAACTCTGTGAAATACGCTCAGTTCACAAAAAAACTGCATTAGGGTGAGGTGCTGATGTGAACCCTGTGACATGTAACTTAATTTGAAATTTGGAGCTTTGTTTTTAAACAGTTTGAAACTAAGCTTTCTTTGTTTACTCTGGAACTATAAATTAACTTTTCTTTTTTTACGGTAATAAAATGGAAACTTAAAGTTCTGTGTACATGAGTCTCTGGGGAGAAAACTGGTGAGTGCCTGGGGCTGAGTAAAGATCAAGTGCCAATCTCCATGTGTTTATAACTTGTTACTGGGTTATCTGGTTATCTTCAGACAACTCCTGGTTACAGCAGCAGCGTTGTTGTTATTGAGGATTCTTGGCTAACCTAGAATAAATGTCCCCTCCTAATGCACAGGTCACATTTCTGCTTCTGTTGGAATGTTAAATGTTGTGCACTTTTCAATAGTCTTAGTTACAGTGTCCTCACCTAACAAACTGTGCTTGTTCAGTGAATTGTGTTTGTGCAGATGTGGGGGGGAGTTCTGTTGTGTTTAATTTTCTTTTCCCTTTCATGTAATCCTGAAACAATTACCCAATGTAGTATTAAAAGTAGCTATATAGCCTAAAGGTCTAATGACTGGTTTGGTTTATTTTTTTTTCTTTATTATGCAGTTAAAATTGGACTTTTCTAATATAAGTTTTAAGTTTAAAAAATCCTCATATACCAACCCTTTTGAAAGTTGCTCTGAAGTTTATTTGTATAAAACGGGTTTTTTTCATTGCAACTGTATAAATAGCCACAATCTACTATTATCAATATTTAATTTGCTTCCTTCTAAAACGAGTACAAAATGATTCAGAAAAACAACAAAACTTATTTTGCAGTCAGTAACATCTGAAAAATCAGTGGGTTTCTTTTATAAATGGCTATATTTGCTTGATGGCATGTGCATTGCAGTTTAGAGACAGGAGTAAATATGATTTGTTGGCTCTACCTCAAGAGATAAACCATTTTAGATAACCAAATTTTAACTGCTCCTATAGCTCTGTTGTGTGTTACAATGACTAGAGAATAACAATACAGCAGTGTAGCAAACTTGTTCTGTTTGCTGTGCTAGGGCACTAGGCAGTGCTGTGGGAACCAAGTGCTGTCTAAAGTGTTCATCAGACAGTGTTCATCATTTACCATAGAAATCAGCTACCTGAAGGTTTTTGTTCTTCTGTCTTGAAAAATAATGTGATGGAAAAGGTGGACTGCGCCACATGACTGTGGATCTCTAGCTGCAGCAACTTGCTTGGTAAGCTGAAGTACCTTCATCAACAAGAAATTATGAATTATGTCTTTTGGAGGTGGTTAATGTGTTGCTGTGGATGATCTTTTGCCTCTCTGGGCAGCTGGGGTATAGGCAGGTCATCTCATTTATATTTAATTAATTGTTTTAAATCAAAAGTCAATTTTTTGTCACATGTGAACTGTTGTGGAAAGCATCTGAGGGGACAGAATTGTATGTTGAATTTAGCATAGTCTATCCCTCAAGGTAACATTGTTTTTGAGACAGTTTTGCCCAGATAAATGTGGGTGGCAGCAAAGGTCAAAACAACTTAGCCTTAAAGTGTTTCTGTCCTTGTAAAAATATCTCTAACAGAAACATGCTTGGAATGTTTCCCCTTTAAAATGTAATTTATAATTGCTGCTTTAAACTCATAAGGATGGATCTTATTCTGAGTAAATGAATACTGTAAATATCCTTGTCATACCTTGAATAAATGGTAAACTTTTTCTATAATTTGTCTTTGTGTCTTCATGTGCACATTTTAAAAGTCAATGACAAGTTTACCTTTCCAGAGGGTCAGGAGTACAGGCTGTTACTGCTTGTCCTACACTGTTGTGACTTTTTACAGTAAATAGGGGCTTGGATTAATCTTGAAAGGTTTCCTCCCTTTTTTACACCAAACATTTTACATAAGCATCCCCCTAATTTTTCAAGTTCCAGTTTCAGATATAGCACAACAAAATACAAAATTTCAGTTACATGTGAAACTACCTCCCTTTTTTTCCTGAGGAAATAACTGTGAAACTTCAGGAGAAAAAGAGCATTTGTCTAGATCCTGGAGCAGGTTTTTAGTCTAGTTCAAGGATATGACCATGATTTCTGTGTATCCCAGAAAGTGTCCTGATAGGCAGGTTTACCATTCTGTGGTGCTCTGCAAGCTTGTGGCTCGTTGAGGATTTTCACAGGAGAGCAGCAAAGCAAAGCTTTTAACTGGTTGTTGAGGTGTTTTGTTGGTACTATGCACCAGTTAGTGCCCTAAAAACCTAATTTGACCAAAGTTGCCTGTATAGTAAGGATTCCAAAGACCTGGCACTTCCTAATTTGAAAGGGAAAAAAAACCCACAGCAATGTCTGGTTACATCTGTTAAACTAGGAGAAGTATAATTTTAACCTGGAAATTAAAGTGGCTCATGGCCAGTTACTATCACTGACTAGTTGCCATTCATTAACCAGGAATACTTTGGCTTTGTTACTGCTCACAATGTGGCACCATATACAGTTTAGAGATGGTAAAGAGCAGTGCAAAGAAAGAAATCTTGTCCCTGTGGAAGATGTCAAAATGAAGGTTTTATGGGATTACTTTAAATTGTTTACTTACCAGATTCCAAGGCACAGACTCATCTACTTTTTGCCTTTCTGGATGACTGATTATCAGTCAGGCTGGAGAGTAGAGTCCTTATCCCTAAACCAAACGTCTGTCTCCCAGCTGGCTCTTCAGAGGTCATTGCTAGCCCTTGGACTCCCATCTCTGCTCCTGTGGCTGCCACTGCTCTGGCTGTTCTACCTTTCAGAGTGCCAGTGCCAGCTGTGACATCACTGGGTTGTCATTACCAGACTGATTTACTAGCAGAACTTGGTCCTTGTGGCCCATTTGTTCTAAGTTCTGCCCCTCTAGTATTGATCTTAGCACATTAAATCATCTCTTGGAAGACCTGAATCTCATGCTCAGCCCAACAAAGAGATTCTGCAGCTGCCGTAATCCCTTGCCAAGCCTAATTCACCACAATTATACGCTAAAGCAGCCTCCTCAAACATACAACAATTTACAGAAAAATGACATGGCTACTGTGGGGTAATTTGGTGTGGAATTCATATCTCAGAATAAGTATTATGACTGATAACCTGGGATATGGAGCAATATCTATTTACAGGAATGCATTTATGTGTTGGTTATCAGTCATTAAGGGTAGTTTTTTAATAGTTCACCTGCTGAGGAAGTGCATGCCCAGAAATGTGCTTGCCAAAAAGCATCTGTGCTGCGGCATGCTTTCTAGCACACACCATTTTCCACTGAGTACTGCTTTTCCAGGGAATGTGGTGGATCTCCTATAGAAATATATAAGTTTGGGGTATCTTATTGCTCACAGAAGCTCTGAATTCAAAGCTGAGCACCATAGGCCATGCTGGTCCTGCAGTCAGTGGTCCCCCTGTGGCCACCAGAAGGAACCACGAGGAAGCAAAATTCCTGGGGTCAGGGATGGCAGGAGGGGCCTGGGCGCTTGGGGGTCACCAGCTCCTTGGGAGCACCAGCATGGAGCCCACGTCCCTGCAAAACATGGAGGTCAGGTGGGGATGTCTCGTGCTCAAGGACAAACATACCTTTTATTGTCTTCTCTTCAGTCAGCCCCAGCGCACGCTAATGGCTCCGAGTCTTGTTGCTAAGTGGGACCTGGAAAACAGCTGGAAAATTTCCTGCCTGATTTTTTTTTTTTTTTTTTTTTTTTTTTCTTTTCTTTTTTTTTTTTTTTTTTTTTTTTTGGACTGGGGAACTGCAGTGTAGCTTTAGAGCATGAAGAGAATGTTGAGCTTTTTATAGAGCACCATTGGAACTGAAAGGCTGAATGTCTGGGCTGGCAAGGTTTGGAGCAGCCGGGTTGTACTTAGGAAGTTGGAAAAGCAGGCTTTCCACATGGGCACAGCCCAGCTGCCTCACTGCCTCCTTTTCTCCAGGCCCTCCAAAGTTATTCCACTAACATCAGGGAAATCAAGATTTCAAATAGATTCCAACAATTTAATTCTACTACTTGGAAAGAAAAGGCTTTTTTGGACCCAAATGTTTTACAGCACCAAAACCCACACACCCATTAGGTCAGTCTTTAAATATTGATTTTCTTTTTATAATGAAATCAAGCAGTTCTGCATTGAATCTTCCAGATGCTCCAGCTGAATGGTTTCTATCATTACGTGTCAAACTCTGCAATCCAAAGAAGAACAACAAAGTTGAGGAAGGGTCTGGAGCACAAGTCCTGTGAGGAGCAGCTGAGGGATGTGGGGGTGTTAAGCCTGGAGAAAAGGAGGCTCAGGGGAGACCTTATCACTCTCTACAAGTCCCTGACAGGAGGGTCAGATGGGGGTCAGGCTCTGCTCCCAGACAACCAGCAGTAGGACAAGAGGAAATGGCCTCAAGCCACACCAGAGCAGGGTTAGGTTCAACATTAGGCAGAATTTCTTCACAGAAAGGTTGATTAGACATTGGAATAGGCTGCCAAGGAAGGTGGTGGAGTCACTATCACTGGAGCTATTTAAAACAGACGTGGATGTGGCACTCAGGGACATGGTTTAGTGGTGGGCTTGGAAATGCTGGGTAATGGTTGGATTCAATGATCTTAAAGGTCTTTTCCACACTAAAATATTCTGTCATTCTGTAAACTTGAGTGGCGATTTATCCTCCACTTGCTTCTTCCCCCTCAACTGCTCAAAACACTGTGTGTTTCCTTGCTCTCACTTTTCCACCAGTTTTAAGGAGGGCTGAGTAGGGGACAAAGAAGCGACTTTGGGAGCAACAGTGGACGGGAAAAATGGGCTAGCAAGGAACCATCGTGCTCCCTTTAAAAGGTGAATGAAGGCATTAATTTTGGTGAGCGGTCAGGATTCACATGAGCCAGGCACTAAATGCTCTAACAGAGCCAGATGGGGTGGGTTAGGTCCTGTTGCCCACCCTGTGCCTCCTCCACTCCCAGCTCTGGAGCACCTAAACCCCTTTAAAAGCCTTTGGAAGGCTGTGCTCTGATGGAGATGTCACTTGAAGGAAGCCTGTCCTGGTCTAACAGGGTCGGGGGCTGGCAGCACTGGGATGAGGCAGGTGCAGCCACCCAGAACCTTCTGGAAGAGCCGCGGAGGATGCAGAGGTGAGGTGAGTAGCTGGGAAACAAAAGGCTGGAAGAAATGTTGACAACAAACTCTGTTCTTGGCTAATTCCCGGAGCGCGGCGTTTTTCCTGCCTCTCCGGGCAGGAATAAGGGACACATTCACAAAGTGCTTGTTTAGGAGGAATGCGTAAAATGCTGTTTTTAGAGGGTGGGAACGAAAGTGGGGGAGATGTGTTTATTTGGTTCCAATTACGCATGCAGACCTTTCCCTTTCAGCCTTTTCCCCAGCATTTCCGCGGCTGTCAGATGTTGTGTGGCTGCTTTCCCTTTTATCTGCCCTGCCTCTCTTGGTTTGTGATGTTTCTTTCTGCGAGGTTAATTGTGCAGCCCGTGCTCTTTGTGCGGGCGCCAGCTGAGGCTTTCCGCCCTTCAGCATCCCCGACGATCGCTTCCTACCTACTGCCGGCCTTTTTATCTGGGATTTCGCACCCAGATCACTCTGCTAATGGGTTTCACAGCAGAGCCCGCACACAGCGGGGCTGGCACGGCCGAGGAGGTGGGAAACAGCGAGGAGATGGAAGTGAGGAAAGGAGCGCCGGGCGAAGGTGCTGCCGCAAAAAGATCCTGCTGATTTGAAAAGAGCATCCCCTGAGACCCTGCATCCCATTCCACAAGGAGACAGACTGCGGTGCTTTAATCTTTCTGTTTCTGCACACAGTCCTTCCTCCTCCTTTTCCAAAGGGAGAGCAGTAATTGCAACCATCAGCTTCTCCTACCATTGTTGTAGTCCCGAATGACCAGTCTTTAAAGGACCTCTCCTTCCCCAAAATAAAACCAATTAAAAAAATCATTCCCACCCAACATTTTGTATATATCTGAACACGTGCATGTGTATAATCACATAATACTTTATATATGCATATAATAATTACATAATAATTTATCTTTCCTGTTAGGAAATTTCTACAGCATGAACTTGATCCTTAACCAAAGGTTTGTCTTTCCCTCACTTAAAAAGCTTTCCACAACATATAGCTGCAAGGCAGCTATATGGAAATCTTGTACTCCAATTACCTTCCAGTTTTAATTTTGTAGCTGAAATCAGTCACAGGTTTCCCCTGGAGAATAATGTAGATGAAAGCTGATGTTTCCTTATTTTAAATATTTGTGCCAATGCACTTGCATGCAGTCATAGAAACTATGCAAGATTGAGTTTTAGTAAGAAAAGCTAATGTAAAGTATTTCACAAAGATTAAAAGATAGCATTCTGGTATTTCTGGAAGAGATATAATTTTTTTTAATAAGCTTTGAAACACATTTCAAAAGGGCTTATATTACAAAGAGCTTTGAAAGATTTAAAAGATCAGGATCAAAATGAAGCACAGACTTTGTCTAAACGATACCATTTAATTGAATCAAATTTGGTTTCTCCACGTTTTTCTACAGGAAGTTTTCATGCCATTTCAGAGGAAAAAAGAAAATCACAGAATCCTAGCTTTCTCTTACATGGAAAACCTGGTTTCTGTTATGAACAAAACAGCCTGACTGGGACACTGGCTTGAGCTAAGTACTGACATTGAAATGTCAATTAGCCAATTGCTCCTGGGAATCACCTACACCCCCACCCACACTAGGACCAGGATGCAAAATAATCCAGTGGAATCATGGGAGAGGGTTTTGGGGATGAAAAACACCCCAAAATGAAAAAGATGGGTGCAGTGGAGGGGGCTGGATGGGTGTGCTGGTTGGGGAAAAGGGAACCCCATCCCTAGTCTGTGTTTGACCTGTCACCATAACCTGCAGAAGACCAGACTAGACTGGGCTGTGGGAAGCAGGCACAAGGAAAACAGACACTCCACTAATAAAGGCATGGACCCTGTTCATTTCAGTTTCTACTCATCTTCTCCCTGTCCTCTTCAGAGGCTACAACCAGGATTGTAGAGGAAGCTTTGCAAAGTGTATCAGGAAAGGTTTGTGCTCTTTATTCTTACAGAATTATAGATCTACAAGCTTCTTCTTTCAACATTTCCCATTTGGCTTTATATCATACTGCCTTTTCATTTCCACAACAGAAGTTCCTTATACTTCAGTGGCTTAAAGCAGAATTTATTTAGGTCTGGTTTGGAAAATATGTGTGACTCAAATTCTTCCCCTCATGAATCCCTACAACTTATGGAAACACTTTGGACTTGGAGCTTATCAATTACCTTATTCTCTCCTATGTGTGAAAAATTTACTCATTGAAACTTCTAAAGTTTAACAGTGCTGACAAGCATTCACAGAATTATTGGTGTTAATGGAAAAACTAGTGTTGAAGTGAATAATGTTTTATGAAAATGAAATACTCAGAGTGTAGAAAATGTAATTTCTTACTGATGGATCAGTGCAACTGAGTGAATCGCTAGAGGTAAATATCTAATGTCCTTTGAGTTGTAACTTCTGGAGTGCTACATCAAGAACTGTAACTGGACTGAGGTAATGCAAGCTATCCCTGCAAAAATACATCTGTATGGCACATTTATCAATGGCAACTTCACATTTGAGGATGTTGCAGCAAGATGCAATTTTCAAGTAAGTTCTGCAGCTTCTCTGAGTTTTGGTCTTCTTTTTCTGATTTTTACTTGCAAACTCAGGGCCAGCTTGGCCCAGAATAAAAGCAAAAGATCATTACAAAGATTTTTTTTTTTAAATATATCCTAGATATGTAGTAAGTGGTGGTTTGGCTTTGCATAGATCCTCTGTAGTTCAGGTAATATTTCTTTCCCTTTCCTTCTCCTATTTCTTAGTTTTGCCCAGGCCATGGATTCTGCTCTGTACCTCTGTGGCTGGCAGCAGTTTAAAATGCATCTCTATGGTGAGCATGTTGCAGAGAACTTGGGCAAAAGACTGATTGTTCAGTCTGGTAGACTGAGCTTTGGAAACAGTCAAATTGCACTCGAACACTTTCTTGGTTTGGTGGTGTTTTTTGTTTGTTGTTGTGCTGTTTGTTTGGTTGTTGGTTTTTTTTTTTTTTTTGTTTGTTTTGTTTTTTTTGTAGAGGGATTCAGGCTACTGAAGTGAGTCTGGAGAAAATGTACAACTTGCAACAAGAAATGCGAAAAAGATATATGGATAAATATGCTATTGAGAGGCAGGCTCAGCATGACCTTTCTGAAGGGAAATCCTGACCTATCTATAAACTCCTCCAAAGGAAGGAAAGGTCCAAGGGATATAATCTAACTGGATTTCCAAAGCATTTGACAAAATGCCTTAGCAAAGGCTCATAGAGAAGAAAGGTGCTTTTGTGGTTGCTATCTTTAATTGGACAAGAGATAAGAAGCAGAAGAGAGTCTGTAATTGAGAGAACAGGAAATTGAGCAAGGTTTGCTGATGAGAATTAAAGCCTTCAGGGTAAGGGTGTTAAAACAATTCAGCCAAACTAAGGCTATCTGCAGCAGGACCTTTTGAAACTGTATATAGTTGTAAAAACAACATATAATAATGTCTGTGAGTATAAAATTAAAACATAACCAAAAAAAAAAAAAAGAAAAAGAAGCTACATTTATATAAATGGGTGGGTTAAAAATGAAGCGTTGCTTTTCAGCAGAGAAATCTTAGAATTAAGTAATTCAGAGATAGATCAGTTCACTTTAGTGCTCATGAACAGTCCAAACAGGGAACAGAACTATAACGAGAAGAAATAGAAGAGAGTAAAAAGGCAAATTAAAAGTAAATATGATGACCTGCTTTTTGGGAGTGTTTTGTAGCTCATGTCCCCATCCTAAATCAAGGATGATCAGGGTTATTGAGCTGTTTTATAGTAAACAAAAAAGATTAGAACTCCTCCTCTGAAGAAAGGAGATGGCTGACAGAGGATTTGACAATTGCCTGTAAAATCACAAATTACATAGAGGGTAAAGTGCTCTTCATTTGAGCTTGCAGTCTCTCAGTATCAGAAAAATGGAAAATGATATCAGGTTTTCAAGTGACAAATTCAAAATAAAGCAAAATTACGAGTTTTTCCACAGAACAGAGCTAAACTTTGGAACTGATGAGCACCAAGATCTGAAAGATATCAGATTTTATGTAGGTTCAAGAAACAAATTAATAGAACAAAAAGCCATGAGGTGCTGTTAAGCCTAGAGAATTCATCTTTCAGGAAGTTCATGTGGTACAAATCCTTTGAGGATAAGAGTGAATAGTGGAAAGAGTATATAAAGCAAAGTGCACCTATGTGTTTATTCTCTTCTTGGAACACTTCTGCAGGCATAATTACAGTGTACTGGCAGGGACAGGATATTGAGTTGAAGGGCCTGAGCCAGCCTGGCTGTTCCCATGTGGTGGTTGTAACCTGAAGATAACTCCTTGTGAATGGATTGAATTGCTCTCATGAGCACTGCCCTGATGATGAGTTGAACCTGCCTGAAGCTCCTTTGCTGCTTTATCTTGCCTCCTGGTTTTTTGCTCCATCTTTCTCCTCTCCTAAACAGCTGCTGAAATATCACTGTTCAGGTGAATTTGTGTTTTGGGTAGTGCTGCTCACCTGTTTTCTTTTGGAATCCAAAATGCTCGTAAATCCACTAAACAGCACTTTTCTTACCTGGCTGAAGAGCAGCAGGAACAAAAAATCCACTTACGTAACCCATCTCTGGTGCTGTACAACAGAGAATAATTCATGTGCATTGTGCAAAGCAGAACTTGGCACTTCTGACAGTCACATTGAGATGAAACATCTCTAAAGAAGATCAGAAGGGGAAAACCTTTAGGAAAACATTAGTAAAGGAAGAAAGGACTAAAATGTAAAGTCAGTTATGATGAAAGTAAGCACTTTGTGAACATTACAGCAGCATTTTTTCTGAAAAATTCATGTGGTTTTTTTGTTAGTTTCACAGGAACAGGTAGAAGCAAAACAATGGACAGGCTGCCAGGCTGCTGTATTTATTCTTTATCTTCGGGCGCTGGCCAGCTGCCTGCCCGGTCCCAGAGCCGGGAGGTGAGGCAGTGGTGGTGGCTCAGAGCTCTGCAGGTACATCCAGACCTTCAGCACGGCCTGGGGCCCGGCTGGGAGGGCAAAAGCATCTGTCAGCCCCGCTAATCCCAGACACAATGGGTGCTGTGCCCCTGAGCTGGGTGGCAGTGCTGGGGCACTCAGCACCAGCCGAGGCGAGGGGAAACAGCGAGGAGGGACGACTGCCAGCCGAGTCGGACAGAGGAAATTACTCAGAAAACGATGAGTTGCATCGTGCCGGCTGAGGAGAACGTGTCTCGCTGTGAATTACAGCACAAGCCGCGCAGTGTCTCCGCTCGGCCGGGGCCATGTTAGGGCGGGGGTGACCCAGCGGCTCGGAGCCACCGCCCCCGGCCGCTGCTTCGGCGGCCAGGGGAAGGAGCGGTGGGTGCCCGGGAGGTGGTTGGGTGCCAGGGGGAGGGAGGTGTGGGTGCCCGGGAGGTGGTTGGGTGCCAGGGGGAGGGAGGTGTGG